ACACACACACACACACACGCACACACACACACACACACACACACGCACACACACACACACAGAGAGGAGAGAAAACAGGAAGAGCAGTACTAATTTCCAAGTACATTGAAAAGCATCAAGTTTGGCTAAGAGAGACATTAAGCACAAAAAAAGGACACTATTTGTAAGAAAAGTGTAAAGTCATAAACACCAAAGCACTAAGTAACATGACAGCTAAACACAGAAAGCAAAACCATTAGAAATCCAATGAGAACTGAGAAAATCTGGCAGGTCAAGCAAAAAGCACAAAGCAAGAGCCTTGAGGACTCAAACAAGGTGATAAAGTTAACAGACAATGTTGGACAAACCTATCACTGAGCAGATGAATGCTGAGCATATGCATTCAGGAATTTAAAAAAGGGAGGGGGTGGTGAGATGACTCTGTAATAGTGATGGCTGTACAAGTCTGATGATCAGAGTTCTATTCCCAGAGCCCAAGTAAAGGTGGAGGAAGAGGACTAACTCCACAAAGTTGTTCTCTGACCTCCGCAGGCATGCTGTGGTACGAATCATGCCCCTACACACATATCATGTACACACACTATAATAAAAATAAATAAATGATTTATACATGAATGCGTGGATTGATGAATGCATGCAAAAGGAAATCATAAGTGAATGAATAATACATGCAAATAAATACAGAAATAAACAGATATTTGGACAGAATGTCATAAAGTGACTTTCTACATAAATGAAGAGAAAAAGGGAATGGAAGGGAGCGGCCCTGTGCAGAGCCAGCTAGGGATGGAGGGAGCAGCCATCTGGGGAGGGGGCAAACCTGCTGTCCAGACCCACTCACCCTGCCGAAGAACTGCAGGAAGGTGCTGGAGAGCAGCAGGTGCTTCTCAGCCAGGAAGCGGTAACGCCGCTTTTCTTCCAGCTCTGCCGCTCGCTGGCTCTCAGACACGAAGGCCCGCATCTGCGCATGCAGCCGGTTCACACTCTCCTGGAGGGGAAGAAGTGCTGGCTGGGGGTCTCATCTCTGCCTTCTCTCCAGGCCTCCCCTGAGCATCCAGCTGGCTGGCCCTGTCTCCATAGCCTGCCCCACCACCATGGGCATCCTGACCCCTTGGGGGCCTATGCCTCACTGGCCTGGGCTGATCTGGTACTCAGCACAGGGGAGCAGGGAGGTGGGTTTACAGAAATAGGAATGAGAGGGTGAATGACCTTCTGGGGAGGGGAGATGCTGAAGAGGGGAGACATGAGCTCATTAAAGGGTCCAGGAGATGAAGCAGAGGTTTATTCATCCATTTGGGTCCCAGAGTCAAGAGGCAGGGATGGGAGCTGGGACTGGCTTTGTCTGGGGCAGGGTGCCTCTTTCCAGTCAGTGTGTGTGCGTGTGTGTGTGTGCGTGTGTGTGTGTGTGTGTGTGTGTGTGTGTGTGTGTGTGTGTGTGTAGGATACTGGTGGGCCAAATCCTTGCTACCAATTCAGAAGCAGCAGAGCCATTGGCCCTATTTTTTTCAGTGAAGCAGGAGAAGGGTAGGGGGCTGAGGGTTGCCCAGGGTGACTCTCCAACTGTGCTCCTGATGTCTGGGCTGGTGCTGGTTGGAGGAGCTCAGAAGGATGCTAGGGGTTCCCTCAGAGACCTGCACCAGCCTCCAACCCTCACACCTTCATCTCCCGAGTGTTCTTGTCCCTCTTGCGCTCCATCCGCCACAGCTCAGACATGCACTTCTCCAGGTTAGCTGCTCGGTGGCGATATTCAATCTCATAGTGTTGGCGGCTGTCCTGGGGTAGGCAGAGAGACGGGGATCCCACATCAAAGAGGCCAGGGCTCAGAGCATTGGACAGAGGGCGAAGGAGCCCAGATGGAAGTGTGTATAATAGCCTGGGGCTGGTGGATGCTCAGTACCGGACTTCATGTGGACCTCTGTCACAAGGGAGAAAGGGGGCCCTGCTTGGGCAAGGCTGGGAGCAGAGGAAATGACTCACTTTGATGAACTGCATGTCCAGCTTGGTGTTCTTCTCCATGTGCTGAAGCAGATCTCCATGGAAGGTCTGCACCTGAGTGGAGTGCAGGCTAGGTGTGATCAGGGTTCCCTTCTGTCCCTGGGTCCAGCTGTTTCACTCTGCTACAATGCTGCCCGCCATGTTCCTAACATACCAGGCTCCTGCCCACTTGCCCAAGAAACAGGGCTAATATGCTCACATGGCTGGAGGGAAGATTACAGAGTTGACCAGGTAGTTTCTGGCTCAGACCTCCTCAATAAATGTGTTGAAGGCTCCTAGTCTTATTTTTGGTCAGACAGGGTTTTGTGTATACACTCTTTCTGCCTGGAGTTTCTCACCCATATTGAAATGTTGCTTTCTTGCCTCCCCAGGAAGAAGCCATTCGCCCCTCATTTGTTTCTAGAATGCACATGCATCTGTTCCTTCTTCCAGCCATAGGGAAGATGAACTGGCTCCTTGTCTGTAGCCCCTAGAGCTGCTGTGAGCAGGAAGTGCAGCCCTGGGTCCCAGGCATTGTAGGCAGAGCACAGCCCAACATGAGGGTCCAGAACTATGGAGGCCTAGGATAGGAAAGGCCACTGGGGATCCCCCAACAAGCACCACCTGGAAAGCTGGAGAAGACCACTGAGCTGCAGCTCAGAAGAGCTCTTCTGAGCTCCCCTCCTGCCTCCAATTTGCTTTGTGGCTTTGGACAAGTTGTGTCACACTCTTGGTCTGATGAGTTCTGACGCTATGGGCTAGGCAGACCTCTGGCATACATTCCATACCCTCTGTCAGCTTCCCCGAGGTCCCATGCTTCTAGGGAGGAGTCAAACTTGAGCCCTTAGGTGCTGGCTCTGTGGAGGTAGGGTCCCTGACCCTCTGACACACTTCCATCAGCCCATCTGCATGTGAGTCTTACCCCTGTGGGAGGTTCCCTGCTGCCCTGGGTCCTTCCTAGTACCATGAAGAAAAGGAACTCTGGGAACCTCTCCATGGGCAGAGCATTGGTACGCTAGAACATTCGTAAGGTTCTCTCATGTGTGTTCCTAAGCACCTGTTAACGGCTGGTCTGCCTGGGAGTTCGAGGCCCTTTTTTGTACCATCCAAGACTTTGAACCCTGAGCTGCTGCTGTGATCTCTATAAGGGAGATCCTTACAGAAACAGCAATCTGTGGATGATGCTAGAACATCAGGTACATATTCCTGCTGCATGGGGCCATTTTTGGCCCAGCGAGTAAGGAAGGTGTGAGGCTGGGTAGACCTTCAAACCCAGATGATTCTGTGAGTAGAACATCAGTAGAGACAGTGAATGGCAGACACCTAGAGACAGCCTTGAACCACACAGAACGTTTGAAATGCACAAAACTAACAGAATGGATGTGCCCAGAATGCTGTGGCAGAGGCGGTCTGCAGAGACCACCACAAAAGGTGCCACTTCTCCTGGATGGACAAAGCCTGCCAAGACCCCTGGATGCTGGGGTTTCCTTAAGATGTCACTGAGGTGCACCTGCAGCAAGGCTGAGTCTTTTCGGCTCCTGTCAGCTTCCCTTTCTGCTCCCTGACATGGCTTCCACAGTGGGCAATCTGGATCCTTCTGCTTCCTGTCATGTGCAAACTAAGACAAGAACCCCGTGGAAATGGACAGTAGGATAGGATGGCCATAACATAATCTGTTCCATGGCTGTGATGGTCAAAGGTGCAGAGGACACAGGGTGACTGTCCAGGCAGGTGCAGATGTCACAGGGTTCAGGGAAAGTTTACCTTAAAGCTCCTGAAATGGCTCTACTAAGAGGCTGAGTCAGGGCAAGGAGCTCTCACCACAGAGGGCAGGTCACAAGGAGGTCCCCAGGGAAGGCTGAGGGATTTCCTCTGCCTGTCCTCACCTTTCCTATACATGTCATAAGAGAGCCCTGAAAAGCCCTCAGCACAGAGGCCTAGAAAGCTGAGGCCAGCCTCTGCCCAAGAACATCGTTTAAAGCCCTGTAAGAGGCCAGCAGCTCAGTGAGTTCTCTTGCCATCTACACAGGAAGACACTCTGGCTTTCCTTGCAGTCCTGGGGGCCCAAACCCAAGGCTTCACACATGCCAGGCAAGTGCTTTACCACTGAGCTCCTCCTATGAGCTGCCTAACTCAACCATCAAGCCAGTGACTGTTTTTCCAAATCACCAATGACTCCATGTTGCCAAACTCCAAGTCAGTTCTGGGACTCATGCAGAAGATACCTCTTCCTTCTCAAACACCTTCCCTCAGCTTCCGGGTCAGCCACCCCCTTCACGCCTCCTCCTTTCCTTGGTTCCTCAGAGCCGCCTCCCTGCCCAACCCTGGAAGTGTAGGCCATAGGTCTCTTTCCTTCTATCGTAACCTTGGTCAGCTCCTAAGTCCTTATACTGACAATTCCCAAATGTATAACCCAGCCCAGACCTTTCCCCAGTGTGACTGACTTTCATACCTTTGGTTCCTTGCTAAAAAGCACCTCAGCTCATAAGTATTCTGCCGCTCTAATTGGTCATCCTCGACTTCCCCTTTCACACCTGCCTTCCATCCATCAAAATCCTGATGGCTTTCTCCTCCCAGCCCCGCTCATCGCATTGCCACCCCTTTCCTCTCCAAGGTTTGCAGCTGCCCCTGTTTCTTCTGCCCTCATCCCTGTTCTAAGTTATTAGTATAAGAGCCAGACTCATCCTCCGAGAATATAAGTCAAACAATGAACAATCAAGTTTTTGTTTTCAAGACAGGTTCTTGCTATGTAGCCCAAGCTAGCCTTGAACTGAAAATCCTCCTGCCTCAAGCTCTGGAGTGTTGGGTTACAGGCATGTGTCACTTTGCCCAGCTAAGCAATGAACACTAGGAAAATGAAGTTGACAATGGCATTTACAATGACTTGAAAAACATCAAAGCGGGCTGGGGAGATGACTCAGGGTAAAGTGCTTGTTAAGCAAGCATGAAGATCAGAGTCAAATCCCCAGACCTCATGTAAAGCAGGGTGCAGTAGCATGCACCTGTCATCTCAACGTGCCTCTAGTATGATGGAAGACAGAGGCAGGAGAATCCCCAGCAACCCACGGGCCAGCTGGCACAGGTATGGCATAACAAAGAACCGGGCCCAGCTCAGGCCACCTGCCATAAGGAATGGGGAAAGGGCTTCCGCATACATGACGGCCCAGTGCAGTCGGGCATGACAACCTGCTGAGAGATGATCTGCCTGGAGACAGACTGCCATTGGATATCATAGGACGGTGTGGGAAACCATGATTGGCTAGCCAACCCCTTATAACCCCAAATGCTTCCTGGAATAAATGAGTCTGCAGCAGCTCACCCTCTGCTTGCTTTCGCCCGACTCCTAGTATCTGTGTCGTGATGCCTCTCACCCCCATATCGGCAGGGACCCTGTGTCCCCCTCCGGCTGGCTCCGGGGGAGGACAGTAACAGGCACACACAGCAGCAAACAACAAGAAGACCATGGCTCAAACAAGGTGGAAGGCAAGGACGGAGACCTGAGGTTGTCCTCTGACCTCCACACAAGCACTGTGACATGCACACATACCACACTCACAAACATGAATGTGCACACGCATCACACACACGTACATATACATACATCACACATACATGAGATTTCTTATAAAAATCAAATAATGAGAAACTAATCTATTGAAAGATATGTAAGACGGCTGGGCTGACAAACGACAAAACACTGCTAAGAAAAATAAACCGGAGGGCCAGCACATGGGTGATCTGAAGACGCACTGCTAACCTCAGCACTGCTTTACTGTATAGAGCAATCCCGCCAAAATTCCAGCAGACCTTCTTGAAGAAACCTAGCTAAATCCAGAATTTATAAAGAAAATGAAAAGGTCTTGAGCAGGCAGAACAGTTTTGAAAAAGAATCTAGCTCTTGGACTTCAGTTCTCACTTATAGCTACGGTAGGGCTGGTGTGGGGCTGGTATCAGGACAGGCACATCCATCAACGGAACAGAATAAAGAGCCCGGAATTGGGCTCACATATGTGACAAATCAGTTTCCGGTCAAGACACTGAGTCAGTCTGTCAATGGGTGAAGGAAACTTTTCAAAAGGTGTTGGAATATTTGCTTAACTCCATAGGGACAAAGATGAACCTTAACTTAACACAGCAAAATGAATTTGAGATGGATCATTGAAATAGAGGTAAAGCTTTATTTGCCCAGAAGGTAAAGTTCTATTTGTCTAGAAGACAGAGTTTCTAGAAGAAAACTTAGGAGAACAGCATTGTTATGGGGCAGACAACCATTTTTATTTACTTTTATTATTATTATTATTTTTTTATTTGTATGAGTGTATTGTCTGCATGTAGGTATGTGCTCTGGTGTCATGCAATTCCTGAGGAGGTCAGAAGAGGGTGTCAGATCCTCTGGAACTGGAGTTATAGACAGTTGTTAGCCAACATGTATAATTTTTTAAAAATTATTTTTATGTGTATGAGTGTATTGCCTGCATGTAGGTAAGTGCGCCCGTGTCTTGCAATGACCTCGGAGGACAGAAAAGACTGTTGGATCCCCTGGAACTGGAGTTATGGACAGTTGTTGGCTGCCATGTGGGTGCTGGGATTTGAACCCAGGTCTTCTGCAAGAACAACCAGTGTTCTTAACCACTGAGCCATCTCTCCAGCCCCTATTTTTATTATTTTTTATTTACTTTTATTTTATGAGTATGAGATTTTGCCTGCATGTATGTAAGTGCACCACATGCATACAATGCCTGAGGAGGCCAGAAGAGGGCATCAGATCCCCTGGAACTGGAGTTATGAATAGTTGTTAGCTGCCAAGTGAGTGCTGGGAACCAAACCTGATCTTCTGTAAGAGCAGTCAGAGCTCTTAACCAATGAGCCATCTCTCTAGCCCAGCAAGCATTTTTTTCAGATAAGATGTAAGCATAAACTATTTGCAAGAAATTAAAATTTCTGCTCATCCAAGACTGACACTATTAAGAAAATGGACAGCTGGGCATGGTGGTGCATGACTGTAATCCTTGTATAAGAGAGGCTGAGACAGGAAGTCTGATATGAGTTCAAGACCAGCCTGGACCACATAACGA